GTTCGTTTGCATGTCATAGCTTACTTCTCTTGCAAGCCCTGAGAGTGAAACAGATCCGCAGGTGTAACAATGGAAAAGACAGGTATGTTGTTTTTGTCTGTTTAAAGTAAAACAAAACTGACATTGCTTTACAGCTCAGTAAATGTGCATGTACACCTATGTACCTTGGCTTGTATAATTTGTGTACTTTGCCCATAAGACATACGGCTCTGACAGACTAAGAGCAAGACTTAAACAGCGCATCAGCTTTTTGTAAGTACTCTGTCCTTGAATACTTTTATCATGCATGGCAGACAGCTTGCAACATAAAAGAAACCCCATATGTATGTATAGACACCTATATATATGTATGTGTGCATATCTATATATACGCACCCACATTTATATATATACACACACCAAAGAAAAGTATGTGTATATAAAAACAACATTTGCTTTATTTTGACATTTGGTATAACAACATGACAACTGTCTGTGTAAGCCATAGGGTTTCTAATACTGTTCTGCACATGTGCTTTTCTTGTGAGGAAAGTTGATGCTGAATTATTACATTATATGTAATTGATACATTATATGTAATAGACTGATATTAAAGTGATCAAGCGCGTATGTTCTGTGGATGGCAACAGATTGTACATTGACTTCTGTGTGCAGGTCTGTGTGAGCACAGGAGTCTCTTCTTGAGCTCTAGTGTATTTACAGGATCGAGATCTGAGTTCACAGAAATCCTGTCTGTGAGCACAAGTCATTCCCCCTGCAGTCAATGGCAAACAGTAAGACATGAAACGTATCTTTTCCACATAGTCCTTGCAAAGTAAGAATAATTGCACCTCTGCTAAGTCTGTATGACTGGTTGACTGTATGTGCATGCAAATGCTAGAATTAAAACTGAAGAAAGAAGATTAACATATTTAGAGAAAATAAAGCAGTTTCAGCCACCAGGCAATGTTCTATGCTAGTGTAGTATAAACAGCAATAAGAAAAGGATATATAAATTATTGTAAAGCTACACTTAAGTTTGCCTGAGAATTAGTCACTGAAACCGAGGTCAGTATCGTATTATACTGTTCCAAACAAGCTATCTGGGGAGCTTGTTTTCTTCCAGCATTGGCACACTGCCAGCGCTTATAGCCACAATATGTTTTTGTTTTCTGCACTATCACTTCAGCTTTGCTCTCAGGTTAACGGGGTTTCATTTGCATGTGAGCTTGTCGTCCCTTCCCCCCCCCCCGAGCTTGGGAGCGTGTGACACTGTTCGGGCAAGGGTGTCCTTGCACTCCCTCTTACGCACCTCCTCCTCTCATCTTCCTGACTGCTGGACAAGTCTTTGCGTGAAGAATCACCTTGGTGCCAGACTTAACTTGGGTTCCCCACAGAACAGGGTTGTCTTACTTAGCCTTGCTTCTTTAATTTGGCCACAAGGCTATGGACTGAACTTGGAGAAGTGATAGGGGAACCAGCAGGTTAGCCCTACAACACTCAGGGGCCAGGTGGGGTGGCTTTAGAAGCAGTCTGCATTAACAAGGCACAGAGAGTGATACTGGTATCATTGTGGACTGAGACCATTGAATCTGCTGTGCAAATACTGAGTATTACCAGGTCCTTTTGAAGGAGAAGAAATGAGTTCAGAGTCTGGGCCACGAAATAGTGCTTCGCTGATATTAGTGTGGAGGGAAAGGTAGAAAATTTCCCATGTGTCTGCCATTATGAAAGAGGGTATGCAAGAGTAAACATTACTAAAAAAAATTCCTCCCATGTCTGCTGATCACCTGAAAGAGGATGCTCAGAGCTGCCAGGATAAGTGTGAAGAGGACATCCCGAAGAGTTCTCCGTTCGACTTTGTTATAAAACAGTTCCAAGGGAAGAAATCCTTCCCTGGAAAAAGAAAAGAGCAGCCTTCAGCCATCAGAAAATTCTTCAGGGGCTTTGACTTTGGGAAATCCAAAGTCAAGGACAGAAGGGAAACTGAAGAAACAGAAGTAAACAACTCTAGAGCTGATGATCGGAATGAGAATGAAGATCTCTCTATAGAAGGTAATGCTGGTACAATAAAGAAATAGATGCACATATGTACGTATCCTAACTTCATTTGCTTTCCTCAATAGCCGAAGTGCTGTATTTTGTTGACTACAGGTTCTCTTTTAACCAGGATTTGCTTCTGATCAAAACATTATCGAGGATGTGTTCTCTAGTTTGATAGCCAGCAAAGAATAAATGGGATCCATGTTGCTTAGGAGGGATAAAGCTTTTGGGTGACCTCCCACTTGATCTCTACTCTGAGAAGTCAGTGCTGGAGTCAGCTAATTCGTTGCAGAGCTTATTTGGGGCCTCGAGCTTTGTGCAGTAGCTTGGCTCGTTTATGGTTAAGGTCCACCCTGCTGCTAAAGCAATCTGAAGATAACAGGAGCAGATGTTTCCCACTACTTGTCACTGGTTAGGGGGAGGGGAAGGGAGTAGAAATTCGTTGTATATGTTATTTTGTGCTTGCAGGAATACTCTCTACCTCCACACCAGAGAAAATAAGGCTATTTTTAAAAAGGTGCCGGAACATGAGGTTTAGAGCCCATCCTTTTGAGCAGAATGGGAAAAGGAGGAGAGGACAGCTCTTGTGAGCAGGGATGAGTGTTTTGGGCAATTTTTGCCTGCTCATTTCTGACTATAGGCATTAGATGATATTACTGAAGGACTGTTTTGGTTGATCTGCTAAGAGAGGTTTCCTTGCTGTGCAAACTGCATTGAAGAAGAAGCTAAGTGGGGGTTGCTTTGCAAAGCCAAGAACAGCAGTACTGCCTTAAGCAGAAAATGTAGGAAAATGAACACCGGCTGACATGGAAGAAGGAGCAGGATCACTGCAGAATTGCAGCACTATTCACTGCTAACTGGTTAAGTGCAGTCTGTATTGCCACAGCGTGGGAACAAGGCAGGCACACAGAGGTGGTTATGTGTCTTGTGCGTCCAAAATACCTGCAGCCCAGAATTTTGCAAGGATTTCATGTGCTTGAACTGGTTGTGCAAATGTCCAGAGTTGCGTAAGGTAGATTGAAGATGTGATTCTTCTCTCATTTAGCATCAGCAGCTTTGTGGTGATCTGATCTATAGTGATCTTGTCACTCAGGATATTGATCCACATGGATATGGTCCTCTGAATTGAAAACAGAGCCAGGTTTACCGATCGGTTTAGTTCATTTCCTGAAATCTTCATCTGACAGCCGCAGACAAGGTTTTACACTGTGTTAGTTGCAGAGGTAACCAGAGCCCTATTTCTCTGTTACACAGATGGACCATCACGTCTTATTTCTGAAGCAAAGTCACCATCTGGTAAGCAGAGATTTAACCAGTTCATGCAGAAGCTGGGAAAGAAAGCCAACAGCAAGAATCTGGATCTAAATAATTGTGCTTTAAGTGCAACAGATGTAACAGAGCTGGGTAAATATGCATTTTACTCAACTGTACACTTAATATATTTCTTTAATTCTTATTTACCTATTCAGTTATTCACTCACCTCTTCCCCCTTTCTTTCTTTGATCTCAGTCCTGAGACTTTTACTAAACGTCTCATATGATGGCCCAAGCCCCTGAGAAACGTTCATTAATGAATTAAGTTGTCTTGCAGGTAAATGTCTTTATGCTTAAACTAGAGATAACACGCGACTGATAACTTCCTTTTTTTTTTTTTTTTTTAAAAAAAAAAAGCTTCTTTACTACCATTTCTCCCAGAGCTGGAAGAGATTAGCCTGTCCTGGAACGGTGGTGTTGGAGGGACTTTGAAAGCTCTCACTGTTGAGCTCCATCATGTGAACCTGTTAAAAGTTCTTCGACTTAACAACTGCAGGCTGACAGCTGAGGATGTCACTTCCTTAGGTACAGGCTGGCATTTACGTTTATTTCCAGACTGCTTGGGTCTAATGTAATCCATCTCATCTGTTACTACATCCTACCCCTGCTGGTTCCACACTGGACAATGTGAATTCCTAGCTGTAAAATAGTAGAAAGTATTTTGACTTAGGAGTGGCCTTTGAGTAGCTCTGCTCATTACTCAGGGCATAAAGCTTTCACAGCCAGAAGGGAGCAGAATTCAGTCCCATTTGCAGGAAAGCACATTTTCCCATCTGGATTAGTATTTTTGGGACTAGCTTTGAAGTATCTAATGGTGGGAAGAAGAACTGAAGCAAACTTGATTCAATCATAATAAAGTCAGCTTAGGTCTTCATGCTACAGGGATGGATGCAGCGCTCATCGCACAACATTTGGTGGGATGAGGTCTTCTGGAGGAAGCTTAAAACCAGAACTGCTTCCTCGGAGCTTTATGACTTTTGTTTTGTATTTGCTGGGAGTAGTTCATTTCTCTGCTTGCTCCTTTGTCTGGAGTGCCTGCAACCCTACTTTCTACAAAGTGTGAGATTTGGAGGTTTTAAAGGTGGTGTTAGGCACTCACATCCTCCTAATGCTGTCATTTACCACTGGGCCTGGAGTTTACTACTGGGGTGGGTCTGTGGTACGTATCTAGAAGAAGGACAAATTCAGTGAACTGGATATTGTGAAAATCTTCTGCTTGTTTTGCAAGCTCTATAAACTGTTCTGAGTTAAAAAGCTGTTTTTTATGTCATTCAGCTCCAGGCTTTTTTCAAGAGGGGTTCAGGAATAAAATAACTTGTGGTCATAGCTCAGAATTAGGTCGTGCTGTCTGCTGGGGAGGAAAATCCATCTCTACAGAAGCTGGTGAAAATAGTTGGTCTGTTTCTGATGACGGTCAACTCTGTGTTTCATTTTCTGTCAGATTTTTTTCATGCTTCTTTCATTCTTTTTCAAACCCTTTTCTCTTGCTCTTTTTCTCTCTGTATGTTTTATTAGCCTCTACGTTTTCAATGAATTTATTCTGTCCGGTTCTTCTCTGCTCTTTCCTTCCCCCTTCTGGACTGGCCTTTGCTGAGACAGACACGTAACTGGTTGTAAGAGTGGAATTCCAATTTGAGATGTGGAACAGCAGCAGTCTCTTTGCATTGATTTTTGGCTACAATTTTGAAGAGTATGTGTGTTTGGTGATAATGTGTGTAGGCAAATAGTGCCTGTTTAACTATGTCCGTATCTGTCTGTGGAAATGTAGGCGTTTGTGGACTCAGTGGGCACATTCTACCTCAAATATAACCATCATATCAGCCTGTCCTATGTGATTGCTCTGAGCAGGTGCTCTGAGAGGTGGTAGGAAACCATTCCTTGAGTTATAGCCCTCTGTTTATCTTTCGGGTGGAAAATGTGTCTGGAATGCTAGTCCCCATATCAAATAGAAACAGGCTACTACGCTGCAGAGGTAAAACCACTCAACTGTAGAGCATTGCTCAGTGTTCAAGATTGAGGCAATTATTTAAAATAAATGTCAAGAAAAACAGATAAAAGCTAAGACATGTCCCTTTCTCTCAAACCAGGAAAGGGACATATCCCTTTCTCTCAAATGACAGAGCTAGTTATTTTGTATTATGAATCTTATCAAGAATTAATTCTGAAAACACTCAGACATGAAAGGGTTTTCTTATTAAAATATAACTCAATTATTAGGCTGATGACAAGACTTTAGATCAACGATTTGCTCTATGACACTTTGAAATTACATTTGCATATGGTCTGATTAATTGATCTTTCTTGGAAACTAGTTTAAGCAAATACCCATCTTCCTCTACCCCCAGCAAAGGAATTTTGGAGGCTGGATTTTGCAGTGGCATATTAATAGTCCAAAGAAGTGCTAACGCAGTTCAAATTGGCAGGTTTGTCAAGGCTGGAAAAGGCTAATTTTTCTGAATGTAATCAAAAGCAGTGCTGTCTTCCTTGAAGATCATGAGAAAGTTAGTTTGGGTCAAAACAATGCTCAGCTTCCTTAATTCCTCATGCAATGAGTCAAATTTCTGTCAAAAGTGAAGCTTTTACAGTTTAAAACATAGCTATGAGAAGACTTCTTTCATTCAGTCCAGAATAACCTGTGGACACACTGCAGAGGCTATTGTAAGTCTGCCAAACAAAATAGAGCAGAATTACACAGGGCAGTAAATTCAGACTTGTCATTCCTGTTGCTTTTCCTATAAAATAGACTTTCTGGGTCCTCGCACAGGTCTGCAGTGATGATCAAGCAATCTGATGAGTGTTTGAGAAACAGCATAAAGTTAAGGTCTGTGTGTGCTGTGACAATGACTTGTGATCTATATTGCTCCTGTTAGACAAGGTGAGAATTTACACAACATCCCTGCAGCAGCAGCAATTCATGGCGTACACCAATTTTACTAACAATCCATACGAAAAGTAATAGTTAGAGAACTAAGTGGTTGATATTCCCCTTGTATATTTCCTAAAGCTGTATTTTGTCTTGTACTGAAATTGATATAGAATGAATCACCTTAGACTTCTGTTATAGGGGAAGCATTTGAAATGGTTCCTCAGCTTGAAGAGCTGGATTTATCATGGAACAGTAACATAGGTGGAAAACTGTCGCTCCTGACAAAAAAACTCCAGAAAGGTTGCAAGATAAAATTTCTGAAAATTACAGATTGTGACCTGACGGCCAAGGATGGAGAATCGCTTGGTATGTGTATCCACATAGCTGGGCTGAAATTCTGGCTTCACAAAAACGTAGCTCATTTGACTCAGGTTATGGCCATATTAAACTCAATATTGTTTGAAAGTTATTTAACTTCAGGCCCTGCATTATAACAGTATTAACCATGCAGTATTGGTATTTATTGCACTTTCTTCCAAAGAAAAGTGGTTCTTTCTAATCGTGTGAGGTAAGGTTGAGAAGAAGAATAACTAGATCTAAACCATAGTCTGTCTGGCTCAGTGGTCCAGGATTACTGGATCCTCTGAGACCCTGAGCAAGTCATGCAAGCCAGAATTTCCAGAACTGATTGCCTAAAGTTAAATAGCTAAATACGTAGTTGGCCATGGGATGGGAAAGAAGGGCTGAGGGATGGGAATTTGAGTTGAGTTGTCAACCACTTACCACCCCTCCCATCTGTGTTCTCACCATAGCTTAATCCCATGTGCTCTTTTGAACTGGTTCCGTATTTTTTAAAAGAAATTTTCTCCCTAAGAGAAGCCCCTGTACTTGCTTCTGATCTTTAGATCAGAATCTGAAGTTTTTTTATTAGAATTTTTTTTCCTCCTATTCCTGCTTTATATTCCTGTATTTTTTTCTCAATGTCCTTCCAATGTTTTTCCATCTCTATCTTCATACAGGGTTTTCACTGATTTTTCTTGAGTCCCATCCTATCTTTGTTATGCTGTATTTTTTCCGTAGAACCGGAACTTAGAAAGTCTAAACCACATCTACAGGCAAACCCAGCCTGTCTCTTCCTGTTTGTCAAGGTGCTGTATTTTTTTCATGTTCATCTGTATATGCCAGACAATTACTAACTCTAGTTTTCTTTTCTTCTTTCCCAGCTCACATTCTAAATGTGATCCCAAACCTTGAGGTGTTAGATCTCTCTATCAACAAACATATTGGCTGCAGCATGAAGATTATTGCTCAGAATCTGAAAAATGTGCCAGGCTTGAAAGAGTTAAACTTGCATATGTGTGGATTAAAGCAAGACAGCCTCCAGGGCTTAGGTTAGACTTTACATTCAGAAAGATTTTCATTCTGAATAAGCTGTACATGTGAAACCCATTTAAGAAAGGCAGTAAGGCAGTATTTTGCTAATGGTTTGGCAGTATTAATGGGCAATGGTTCTTTGCTGATTGGAGATTGATAAAAGACTACAGAGACTTTGAGCAGGAGTAGCATTTATCTTCCCTGAACTCAACCATGTGAAAGTCAGTGGGGAGGGTCACCCTTCTCGTCATTTATCTGAGACACATCTTAGGGTAGATTAACAGCTCTCTGGACATGCTTGCACTCTCCCCAGACAGAACGTGGAAAAAGGCACAGACAGGCTAGCCAACTTTTAGAGAACTAATCCCACCCTCCGAGGGGAATCCAAATTCACCACTATCACTTTAACGAATGTCTGGTGAAGCCATATGAAGTGGGCTCATTATCTTTGTCTGTCCCTAGTGGAGATCTTATCCATAAGACAAAACAACTGGCCCTAATTAGCACCTCCAGTAGTAATTTCAGCAAAAGCCTGAAGATTGAATGGATCTGGAGGATGAACTATTCTAACCTGGAGGATGACCCAGCCTCACCTTCACTTGCTCTTTTAGAGAGAAATAGAGTTGCCTGCTTCGTGGCATTACTGTGTAGCTGCTGTGATTGTACCCGGAAGCTTAGTCTGAGAGCTTTGCTTTCAATACCTCGTCCAAACTTTGACATTAAAGCAAATAAGTGTTAAAGCCATAACTTGTGCTATTGTAACAGCCATGCGCCCTTTTCCATTTCAGACACTGCTTTACAGCACCTTGCAGAGCTAAGAAAATTAGACATATCATGTAACAAAGAAATTGGTGGTGGCTTTAAAGTCTCAACATCTCACTTGGCCTGCTTGAAAAATCTTGAAGTTCTTGATCTCCACCAGTGCTATGTAACAGAAGAGGACGTGTCTATTTTGTGTAAGGATACGTTCAGGAAATCCCTTAAGAATGCATGTGTTTGACTTCTGAAAATAGACAGAAGAGATTCTGTCTAACCTAGTCTAGCAGATCTCAATACTTTGGAGTAATGATTTTTTTCGGGCAGTTCTGGAAGTGCAGTGTGGAGGATAACCGTCTTGATCAACACGGAATGGTCCTTTGCTCTGTCAGAGGAAGTCACACAGTGGCTGATGGCATGTAGAGCTAAGGACCTGAATCTGCCAGGGTTCAGACCCAGGATGTGAATGTAGGAACTGCCACGAAGCGCTGCTTTTGTTGAGAATCAGTGACTTTGGAAATAGCCAGGGAAAGTTCCCCTGTTGGTAAAGACTGGCATGGATCCAAGGGGTTGCATGTGCATGTAAATGTAACTGCCTAAGCCCCCCTTAGCGAACTCCTAAGTTTAAGTAGAGAGTGATGTTAGAGGAGATCTTGCACTGCTGCCGCTCTCTGCTTTATGGAGAAGCTGAAAACTACAGGCTCCAAGCTGAAAACTACAGGCTCCAAGCTGAATAGATCAAACTCCTCATAAGTACTATTAGGAAGAAATAGACAATTCCCCTTCAGTCACGGACAGTTTATTTTCTGTGTACTTTCCATTATCATAGCTTTTTGACATTGGTTTTTACTCTTTAGAACAACATGACTCAAAGCCTGTATTGCCTACATCTTTTTTTTCCATGATAAAAAATGTAATTTGAAAAGCTGCTGCTGAAGCAATGGGAAACATTAACTATTAGTAATAGCGATTGTGATTTATTTTTAATTTCTTCTACACGTAGTAAGACCAACAGACAATAGCCGCATTAATATACAGTGGCAGTGAAGACATTTGGAAATATGCTCCCTCCTCATTTAATACTAAATTTCCTCCTTGACCTTGAAAATTTCAACAGGAAGCCACATTCTGACACCCTTCCCCACAGTGCATAGTACCTAATTTCCTAAATACTCCTACTGGGAATGACAAGGCTATTTATGGAGTAAAATATTGCTCACCATAAATTTGAATGTCAGAACTTGCCTTGACTTTTGGATTGATTTATAAATAAAAGAAATGATGTCAAATGAATATACAGCTACACGTACTTGTTTTGGATCAGTGACTGTCTAACAAATATTTTATGTTTTCAAAGCCCAGGTGATACCTTTACTATCCAGTCTGCAAGAGCTGAACTTATCCTCGAATAAAAACATAGGAGTCTCATCTGATCCTCTTCTCGGCAGGCTCAGATTTTTACCAAAGTTGAAATCTGTGGCCATCAGTGATTGCTGTTTACGAGAAGACTCCTTTTCATCACTAGGTAGGAATGATTTTTAAAGAGTGTCAGTTTTCTATGTATATCTGTGGGGCAGAGCAGTTCATTCTCCTTCAGCTGGACTCCAAAGATCCATAGTTACATTATACTGCAGGTCCTGAATGAAAAAGTAGTTGCCTCGCTCTTGGCTCTGCTTGCTTTGTGACAAAACCAGTGCTTCATCTGACCTGATTGTAAGGGATAGCTGAGAGCTGAGCACTGGGAATACTACAGGGCCAGGTGGAAAACCGTCGTAAGTCTTCCGTCATTATACCTGACGGGATGAAGTCCTTTTGGTCCTTTGTCTGACAGTTTGCTTTCATAGCTTCCCTAATTTTAGAAGAGGAAGCAGCAGAATGTGATTTCCTATTACGCTGGAATTATAGTTTGATTGTGACACTGCATTTGCAGTTTACTAAGGTGAAGCTTTGACTGAAGGTTTTTCACCTCACTAGAGGTGAAAGTTTGAGTAGAAACTTTCTGGCTTGGAGTTAAGCATGAGGAAATGGAGGAATTGAAACAGTGTTTGCAACAATAGAAGAGAGACTGCACAGCCGTGAGGGAAAGTCAAGCTATGCCCAATCTAATGCAGGATATGTACATTCAGCCTTGTTTGTCCAATTATTGCAGATCTCAGTGGATTAGTGGCTACACTGCCCCTTGGATGGGGGTTCCATGTGGCACACACAAATTAAGGACAGGGGTATCTGTTAGTTGCTATGTGTTGTGCAGTTATTATATATTACTCACTGTTTATTAATGATATTGAAATCCACAGCAAGTTTGACTGCCTTCAGCAGAAGCAGCATCAAGCTAAACTGGTCTGAGGTCTCTGCAGGAAGAGTGCTATATTTATATCGTTACCATTATACAAGAGTACTCTCTTGGAAATCAATGTTGTCAAAATATACAGTGCATCTCACCTCGCATGGTGAGTTCACAGCAAAAATTGCGATCTTTAAATAAATATAAAACGGTTTAAAAACTAACTCCTTACATTAAATTGACCTGAGTGGGGTAAAGTCAGACGGGTATGTAAGCAGGAACAAGAGAAACCTCTTCAGAGATCCCTTAAGACTTCATAAACAGGCTTTTATCAGTGTTACATTCTTTAAAGAGTACAGGAGATTTTCTTTGTCCGACTGTTATTGAGATCAATTAAATCATTCTAAGCACAAGTAGGCAGCCTATTAGGAACCTATTTACAGAAGAATTGGCGGTGAGGTGTCTCTTGAGGCCATGTTGTTTTCTCTTAGTAAGCAGAAGTTCCTGGTCTTAATCTTTTCAGCTGAAGCTGCCCTTCACCTTCCTGAACTGAAGATATTAGACCTTTCTTGGAACAAGTGCGTTGGTGGGAACCTAAAGCTGCTTTTGGGAGCGCTAAAGCTTGCAACGGAGATTCAAGTGTTAAGACTGAGCAGCTGTAACTTGGTGGCTGAAGATTTGGCACTTCTAAGTACGTATAACATGGTATTTACTAGCAGTCAAGGAGCCAGGGTATTTAGACCACAATTCAGAAGGGACTCATTCCATGGACTGGGCAGGTTCTTGCATAAATCAGACGAAAAGATGGAAAATACAGCAGTATTTTTCCCAGAAAGGGTTTTCATGGTGCTGAAGGCTGTGTGTCATGTACATGCAAATATTGAAAAGGATAAAAATTAAAGGAATCATTTTAGCAGAGTTCTATGTATTAATATAAAAAGGCAGCACCCGGAAAACTATATGTTTTGAGTATGTTTTTATTTCAGATATTTAAAGTTGCCTTTAAGGAGTTTTATTCTGTTCAGTTGCTGTTTTGGCGTTCAGTATTTCATGAGAAACATACATGCTGACAGCCAGTAATAGAGGCACTACCAACTTTCATTCCATTAAGTGTGATTCTGGAGTCACACTGTTATGGGAGAATTAAATAGAAATATTTTAGCCCACTTCTCAGCAGCTGCTGAGAAATGCTGGAAAATGGGAACCCAATGAAAGAATAAATTCTAGGATCCTTTTAAAAATTTGTTTATTTTAAAAATGTCCTTGTGATTCTGTGGGCCTGACCCATGGGTTTTGAGTGTGTGAGGTTGGCAATAGCTCTGTGATAGCTATTAAAGCCCTTGTAGTGTGAAGGCTGGTGAGATGGAGCCTGAATGTTTTTAACTTTACAAACGTCACCTTTGGTGGGTGGCTACTTTGCCAATTTTACATTAAATTCCCAGTTCCCTCAAGGGAAAATTAGGCCCACGCCCCTCCCACACTGAGTGGTGGCTGTTGTAATCATGTGTCCTCATCTAGTTTTGCTTTCCTCTTTCAAAATCTCCCTACAGAGCCTGTCTGCCTTTTTCGGTTGGCACTTGATATAACCTCCTTCCAACTGACTCACAGGTTTTCAGGTTGTCACAAACTTTTAACCTGACGCTTCTGTTCCTTTTGAATTGCCTGTGCTTTAATGTTGCGCACACCTTCAGCTGTGACAAAACAGCCTTTCTGAGACCAACAGCAAGTGATTGGCACATTTTATATTGCTATATTGAGTTGAACCTTGCTGTGTTTGAATGCTGAAAGGCCTTAAATAATATGGTGTTAAAAAACCACTCTTCTTACTTGTAAGCTTTTAAAGCAATTGCAGGGTATATTGATTGTCTGTTTGTGGCTATCATTTCTTTCAGCGTTACTGACACAGGATGGTCATCTAGCCAGATTGCGGAAGCTGGACGTGAGTTATAATGACAGCATCTCTGATGAAGGGTGGGCCGTTCTCTGTAAAGGCTTGGCAGTATTCAAAGAACTGTCAGAATTAGATGTCAGTCTTCGCCCATCATCTTGCCGTGACTGTGGGATGTGGTTCAGCGAGTTGTTAGCAGCACTGACAAAGCTGCCTGCATTGGTAGAACTGGGGATGCAAAGATGGGTCCTTTCAGAATCACAGCAGAAACAACTGGAAAGCTTTAATCGAGACAACAAAAGAAGCATTCGTTTTGACTGTTGATGGAGTTTGAAGGTTTCTGGAAGGCCTTTTGCAAGCAGCACGAGAACTAAGTATTATGTGTCTCTGACTTAGAATACTGTGCAATTTTTACTCATCTCTTTTCTTGAGAGCTCTAGAAATAGTTCCAAAATTATATAAAACTGTTATTTAACCTTCTGAATACACGGATCGTTACATTTAATAACATATTCTTTCCTATTCTTTGGACCATTCTTACACTGCTATGGTGAAACTACTACATATGCTTAATTTTCAGTGTTGCGAATATTGCAATTACTAATGTTAAAAGCGCGGTGGGAATTTCAGAGGGCCGCGCTCCAGGTTTGCCAATGGAGAGAAGTGGCTTTGACATGAGCTACTGCATATGGGTGGGCAGCGTGAGTCTGGCCTTGTGTATATAACGAAGGTGCCTTTTGTATGAAAATACTTGAATCCTCTATGTTTTAAATTTTAATCTCTTCTCCCTCAAAACTTTTGCTTCTTCATGAATGTATTAAAGCTACGTAACTGAGAGCTTTGGAAAGCATCCCAGCAACTCAGGATTATATATTAGTCCAGTAAGGAGAATGCAGAGGGATCTGTTCTGGCTCTGCTCTGGCCCTTGATGCCTTCTGGTGGTGTAGATGAGTCCTGGATATAGAATCAGCATGAAATGAAGGTAAGAAAGAGTTGATTGGTGTCTCTGCAGGCCTTGAGGGCAAGGGAAGTGCAGGAGTAGGTTAAATAGAGGTATAGCCTGGTATATTAGCAAGAATTCTGGATGCAGAGCAATCCATATGCATTCTGGATAAGGCTGTGCAAAGATTTCAGGGTACTTAGGGATGTTCCTTCTTATCGTGGGCTGTTTCAGCCTTACCCAGACTGCACCTTCTGTACTGTCCCTCTTAGCAAATACAGCACAAAGCCAAACCTCCAGATTTAAGAGCGTGATCTAGAGCCCTATCAAAACCCATGAGAGTACTCTTAGTGCCTTCAGGCTTTTTCAGGATTCAGGATTTCAGGATTCAGGATTAATCTGTTAACTTTAACAGCACCTTGTGAAGCAGACAGTGTTCTTATCCTTGCCGTAAAGTTGGAAGAAATCAACCCAGGGAAGCAATGTCTGTTATTCAAAGCCATGGGACAGCATCTAGCCAGGAGCAGAGCACTCTGCTCTGTGCCCGAGACCCATTAGAACAAGCACTGACTCGGGTCATTTAAGTATCTCGTCTTTTCTTTATTTGATAATTTCTTATTTGGGATTTTATTAGATATGCTTAAACATAGCCAAAACCTGGCGTAATCACTCATGTCATAGAGCATGTTAGCCCACACGTGGGTTCAATGACTGCAGTGGGATTATTCATTGGTAAGATATTTTAGGAAGTAAAGATATTAGATCTGCCCACTGAGTGAGGAGTCTTAGAGAAATCCTGAGACAGCTTGAGGGATAAAGTACTGCTCAATTAGCCCTGAGCATGTCCACATGCTGCAGCAATCTCCTGGAGGAGAAGCACAACAGGATCATTCAGTGGCACTCTCTTAGCTTGCTAGGACCCCTCTCAGCAAATTCTCCCATGCAGAAGCAGGTTAATATTCAGCATTCAGTCTCAGTGACCCCTTCAACATCAATTTCTGACTGGTTGGGGATAGATAGCAGCTAACTGTACTGTGCTGCTGCTGCTGCCTTGCTTAATCCATGATTTCATGTGAGGATCTCCTTGGACTTCCTCGTTCCAGTTTCAGTTTCACAGTAAAACGCACTTGGCACCCCCAGCTCTTAAAATGTGAGATGGAGTGTCTGGTCAGAGGTAGTAGGGAACTGCTGCAGTGTGTGATCAGCTGTTTTCTACAGAGATTCCTCAAAGGCAGCGCAGAGCTCTGGTTTCTGTTTCCTCAGGGCTAATGTCCTGGGAGTCTTTCAAGCAGTGACTCAAGCTGCGAGAGTTACTTCTAATGCAGGAATACTTTCATGTCTGTTTAACACCTGCACACCAACCTCTTCTCTTAGTCACTTGCCTTTGCTTGACTCTCCTTGAATATGCCTCTGGTTCAACTGAGAAAATGACCCTCTATCCGTTCTTTGAGAATCTCTCTGAAGCACTCCTTTCCCAATTGAACTGCACTTTCTAATTCAGTAAAGCAGCTGGCCCATGTTTAATGTCAAATGTCTGTTGTAATCTTACTGCCTTAACTGGACTTCAGTGTTGGGGTTTCTTGCTGTGTCACATACTCTGGTTTCTTGTTCTCCAGAGCACAATACAGACTCACTGTCAGTAACCTCTCCACTTTATTTTAATGATCCCCTTCTCAGTCCTTTGCCATGATTCTGTCATGCCTATCGTGCCACTAGAAAGCTCTCTATTCCCTTCTATTATATGTACCATTTCTCTTCCGTCTTCCTTGAAATCTCTCTCTTCCAGTGGTTTCCTCCTCAGTAGCCCCTGCCTGGATCATCCTCTCTATGCCTCTATGCCTTCACTTAGGGTGAAAAGATTTCACAAGACACCTCCAAGCAATCAAAACAGCATCAGTTACCTAGTAAAATGGAAAATTAAAGGCAGAGCAGTCCCACTTTTCTCCGCTTAAAGTCCCCAGCTCTGTCCGTACTAGCAGACGCATGAATGAGACTTCAGTATCAACAGATTCAACAGCCAAACAGAAATTAGATCCGTATCCAGGATGCAGATACAGCCTGTCTTAATCAGAAGAGCGCTGCTGGAGATGGAGCTGTAGAAAGAGCTGTGTATTAGTGACCCTGCTATCACCACCTCCTTCAGTGACCAATTTCTCTTTCTTTGAGCCAACTCAGACACAGTGAGGAGGCAGAACTACAGTTCTGACCAGCCAAATAAGCTAAATCAGGGATTCTGCTACCCACCCATTCATGTCTTTTGAGTCTGTACAGTGTGGCTGGTCACAGTTTGGCTCTGCGCCTTAGTTCCACTGCAGATAAAACTCTTGAGGGGTTGGTGGAAGCTCTGAGCAATTACTGAATAAAAATTAGACAGGGACATTGAATGTCTAGGACAAACAGCTGTCTGTGAAGTGCTCTAGAACGGTACGGATACATATCAATTTTGCATCCTAAAAGTATAGCAAGGAGTGTCTGTCACTGTTCCTTTGAATAACAAAGATGTTATTACATAGCAGGATTCAGAATCATTGCAGAATGTTGCATTCTGCAAACTCGCTGTTTTCAAATAAACCTGTTGTTCACAGACATTTTACAAGTTGTTACTTACCAAGATATCTCACAGATGAGCTATAACACTAAGGATTTGACAGCTTGCAGTCATTCAAATTACTATAACTACAGATTGTCAAAACATCTTGAACATTTCTGCAAAAGGGTAGAGATTCTTTTTTAAAAAGGTTTTTTTTTTTTTTTTTACATCTGTGTAAGACAAGATTAGAATACAGGTTCTGGTAGAAGTGCTTACATTCTGACTACCTAGCATCCTCCTCCGTGTTTCCAAGAAAGGTATTCATCATTTCTGGATGTAAAAATCATTTAATAACTGCTGGTATGTGGGGCTACAAGTATTTCTTCACTCTAGATATGTGTATATGGATACACATATCCATATTTTCACTCTAGATATGAACGTACCTTGCTAGTTGGAAAACAGATTTCTAAGAAGTGCATGTAAAATACTTTGGAATTCAGAACCAAGAACCAGACTGCTACAGATCAGATTCAATTCTAGTTAATCAGCTGTCTTTCTGCTTTGAGATAACATGCATTCAGAATGAGAAATCTCAGAATATTTCGGAATCGGCCTCATTCATCTGGAGTTGACAAAAGCACAAAAACAAGCCTCAAAATCATCTATTTTCATTGTAGTACTTGCTGATCCAGATGCTTTAATACTGTTTGTTTCTTACTCATTTCTCTCTGCTCACATCTGCCCTTCATGTAACTGAAAAGAGCTCTGTACCGTTTGCTGTACAAATACTACTTTTTGCCTTTTGCTCCTTTTACAGGCTTTTCTCTTCCCTTTTCCTTTTCCTTTCCCTTTTCTTTTCCTTTTTTTCCCTTCTTTACTGGTTTTATTAGTTTCTTAAGTGCCAGGAAAGATCCAATCTCCTTCCGGACCATTAACCCACGCCACAGACTCTGGATCTGAAAAAGAGAGGAATAGTCCGGTTACCTCGAGGAAGAGGGTAAAAGCAAGCATGTGGAACAGTATTATTGGTGATTATTATTGGTGCAAAAAGCCAGGCACATTGTACTCTCCAAAAGAACCCCTTTTTCTGTATTAGACTACATTGCAGTTAGGATGGACTGCCAGCCACCTGGCTTTTTATTCTCCGGCTTCTTTCTGTGTGCTGTTTCTTCAAGGGAAATTCTTTATCCGGGAGGACACTAACACTGTTGTTCTCCAGACCCTTTCATTAGAATAATGAATGACCATGTCTACACATCTCAAAATGTCATAATTTAGTCCAGAGTCTCAGAAGAACAGTTTGGGAGAAACACATTAGTTCACAGAATAATCAATCACAGACATTATTGCGTGAGGGGAGTAAGAAAATTAGGCTCAGAAAAATCAAAGACTGAGAGTTTACCTTCTCTTCTTTCTTGCCTAGTATTTGTTTTGAGCAAATTCAGTCTGTGGCTCACTAGTGATACAGACTGATCTTCTTTTGGAAAAGAAAGAACACACAAAAAATGTGTTTTGTTCCGCGTGGCTGCACACTGGAACTTCAACTCTCTGCAGGCAGACTGCAGTCAGCAAGAGTGCAAGATGCCACCTGCAGCTAGTTGCATCTTTAAGCCAGGCCTTGACTTAGAAGATCCACCTTGTGTTTGGACACACTAACCATTCCCCTTCCACTGGACAAGGAACGACAAAAAGCTCTGTAGCCAGTTATAAGGGCTTTTCTGCTCGCTGTGACATGGTGGGGCAGAGGCAACCTTTTATTATGCTTGTCAGTGATGCCCAATGCTGTATTTCCTGATGGCTCCCTATATCCTACCTTAGCATGATCAGTAATAGAAATATTGCTCCACGACAGGTGATGCATGCAATGTTTTAAGATGTTTTTGGTGTTTGTATAGAGTGCCCTGTAGATTGTTTCAGAAGGTATCTGATTACTAGAACCACAGCTTTGTGTGTATGTTGCAGTGGCTTTTTTAACACCTGTACCTTTAAGATCATGGCGTTCTTATGCCTTTTTTCCCGTAAGTATTCCCAGATGGCAAATGTCCCCTGGCAGCACACTTCCATCGGAGGGTCTGTCATAGGATTCCCATCCACAAGCACCAGCTCCAGCTGCTGCAGACTGTCCAAGTCCTCGGGCAGCTGATGCAGCTGATTGTTCTGAACGAGCAGCTTTTGCAGAGCTGAACACAGAAAAGCAGACAGCTGCAGTGCAAAGAGCAGGACTGAGGTGGAACCCCACCTTCCCAGCTGCTAACTTCTCTCCTCTTTGGCCCCCTTACAATTACTGCACAAGTCCTGAACTATGCGCTACGTTCCTTCCTTCCCTTCTCTTCTTCCTTTTTCTAAAATGCTTACTGGAATTTGTGTCCTTAGGGTCACAAATGCAAAGACTATTTTTCACCTCGTATTTGGCATATGGAGTCTGGGAGCCATTTAAGGAGATTGTTGCGACAGTCAAGTATTTCCAGGTGGGTCAACAAGCCGATGGCCGGAGGCAGGCACTCCAGATGATTATTCTCTATATGCAGTTCTTTCAGATTCTGGAAAATATACGTACATGACTTTTCATAATTAAAGGATTTTTTTTTTAGCTTGTTGTATAAGCAGTGTACAGAGAATATTAATACATGCAGAAATTAGGTTTGAACACTGAGATACCACTGGGATGAGTAACAGGCACAGAGAGATGACACTGGCTATGACGTATTGCATTTTCAATAGACGCTGCCATGGCTTGAGGACACACTTACTTTTTTCCCTGTTGCTTATTCAGTTACCTGTGCTCCCACTTCTCAGTGCTAGCAGAGCACTGAAGTGTCCAACTGGTGGTTAAACCGGAAGAGTCAGGAACCAAAGTGACATTTGCTGTGACCCACTATATCAAGCCTTGCAGTGACCGGTCATGCAGTAAAGCATTGAGTTAGCAGTGTTGCAGCCCTCGGAGCACACAATCTGTGATTTTGACGCAAGACAATTTATGGTATTAGGAAAATAGGTAGAATTTGGTTTCAAACACTGAGGTTTGGTGCTATGCCTATTCTGACAGCCTTGGCCTGATGCTGCGCCCTTTGGACTACTTGAATGTTCATTGTCTTAAGAGATTAGGAGGATCTCCAGTTCTGCGTTTGGGAGCTGCTGAAGTCCACAGAAGTGCCATGCTGCAGCAGGCCGAGCTCTTCCTCCTTCTCTTGTTCCTACCTGCAATTTCCTGACGTCTCCTGGCAGACTTGTGAATTTAATTCCTTTATCTTGCCCCAGGTATAATCTCTCTAATGACTCCAGGAGAAAGATTTCATTTGGAAAGATACTGAATTGGTTTCCAGACAGGCCAAGGCACTTCAGATTTGCCAATCCTTTCACCTCCACAGGTATCTAGACACAGTCATTAAGAAGATACGTTATGTCAATAAAACAGTGATCTTTGCGATTTCATTTTTAGGGAACTATCTTAGGAAAAAGCTGTGGAGCTGCATTAATGCTGATGGATGAACATAGAATATTCCATTCATTAATATAACATTATATCTCACAATATGGTGTAAACTTTGGCAAAAAAATCCACGTTTTTCCTTTACTGGAAAGTTTTCTTATGCGGTTAATTTTATTTCTTTGCAGGAACATTTGTCTGCTTCTTCCCTTTCTTTGTATGCTTGGTGCAGGGGAGAGCAGTTTAAGTGACCGAAATCTGAAAGTGATTCTTTTGCATGAATTACTACTTCTGCAAAAGTAACCTTCAAGAAGAAAATAGCACAAGTGAAAATCTCCTTGGAAAAGGAGAGCTGCATCATATGGAAAGGGAGGTGTGTTCTGAGCTCTAAAATGAGGATGTCCGGGATTATTGTCTACTTATAATAGCACAACTTTAGGGTACGTAATTGTTTAGTATCAAAGGAACAGCAAATGTTAATGATGTTAAAGGCATTAACAGTATCCTATCCATTTTAAAATTGCTCTCTGCTCTGTTTCGGTTTGTGATATGCATTGATTCTACACAACTGTAACTCTTATTTTCCAGTGTACACAGAAAAAGATGCAGAACAACTGAACCAGTCCCTTCAGTCAGTATTTCATCTTTACTGCTCAACATACAGGTCAGAGTTTCCACATATTCCTACTTTTCTCTCCCTGTTTGAATACTCTGTTGTTGGTGATAGGCTCTGGTGCGTATCAGGATTAGGTAACAAGCCTTTACTACCTTGACCATCACTTGCTTCACTGAGTGCCAGTTTGATTGAGGTGCAAAGGACTCCATAGCTTTAATGGCTTTCACAATCATTCCAGTACCCTAAAGCTTTCAGCTAGTGCATAAGAATTTCTTAGTTCACAGACAGACTGTATGTAATCTCAAACTGGAATGGGGAAGCAAACAGCAAAGCAAGCACTGAAGTGCAGGATGTACCAGTGTTCCCTTACTGATAATATGAGACACTGCAAATATAGCGTTTGCTGAGAAGAGTGGTTTTACCCATGTGCCTGCACTGATTGCTCCATAGGCAGTGGCCTGGTGAGGAGTTTTTTAGGCTTGATGGAGACTTACGTGACTGTTCAAGAAAAAATGCAGTGAATGGTTAAGGCGCATGAGACAGCCACATACTGCATGGTAAATGCATGCTAAGGAAGGAGTTACATCTAACTGGAAACATTTAAATAGGAAAAACGAATCCACAGACTACCTAAACAAATGCAACATAATTTCTCACAGAAGAGGGCTGATACCAAGGTGCAACATGCCATCCCATGTTGGTAGGGGAAGGTGGCATTCAACTGTAATGAAGAACTTACTTAGCTTTTGAAAAAGGGAGGAAATACAATAAAAATGAAAATGAACAAATACCTCATGTATCTGATTGTCATCCAGGGCCAAAATTTCCAGATTTTTCATAGCGCACATTCTTTTAGGAATCTTATTGAAACGATTTTCGCTCAGATCTAGTATGCTGACACTGGTTAATCTGGTGAAGGACCTTGGTACTGTGTGCAGTCCAGTGTTCCTCAAGTAAAGAAGGGAAAGGGA